ACAAAGCGGCGCGAGAAGGAGCAAGATAATGCGAGGAAGGTGAGCCTGGCAGGTAAGTGGGGCGAGCAGCAGCAGTTAGGGTGCTCAAAAACAGGGAGGAGCAGCGAAGAAGAGCAGAGCGGGGGGCAAAAATGCGGGGAATATGCTAAGTAATTGCCGGGGCGCCGGTGAATCAGCTGCTGACGTCACGACGAGTGGTTGGGCCAAATCGCTTTCTCAACTACTTTTGATTCGCGTGCCTCTCCTCGCGCCGCCCACCACCTCCTCCTCCTACTCCGCGTCATTTACCCGGCTGGAGGCGGCCGGAGTGGCTGGAGCCATCCGGCCGAGCCGAGCAGCAAGCGGCATCGATCACAAGCTAATGGCCGTGATTCGCTTCCCTTTCCAGCGACGGTTTCGGTTTTGACACCAACAAGTAGCAGGGAGTTGTTGTCGATCTCCGCTGCAAAGCGCCGCTGTGCTCCCTCGGGGATGAAAGAAAAGGCGATCAAGATAGAGACGATGGTGGGAAGTGGTGCAGGACAGGAGAGAGTGTTCTTGAAAGGAAACCAGATGTAAAAGAGCCAACAAACTACAAACATGGAGCATTTACATACATTACCTACATGAAGATACGAGGCTTGAGCCATTTAATTTCGAGCGAGAGGAATCGTTTTACGAACGAATTGTGTTCGTGCCATGACAGCACATAAATTCTTCAGAGTATGGAAATGAGCTTCACGACGAGGAGATCATACTTTTAACAGAGTCGTGCGCAGGCAGCACACGCGTCGGGTTCACTTACCTCGTCGGTGACGTTCTCCATGGCGTGCCTGGGCGCGCGCGGGAGCGGCCGGGGCTGCTACCACGCTGATATCCCCAGGCGGACAAGCTGCCCCTGCAACAACAAAGGCACGTCGTTGGAAAAGGGGCGCCCACACAGACCAGCCGAAGGACACACAGGCAGATGAACAGACACGCGGACAGGCAAATGGACACAATATGCCGACTGCCGCCGCTGAAAAACAAAAAGGGCAAGGAAGCGAGAGAGTGGGCGGGGCGGACGGGATAACATCGCGACTCATAGAGACGGCCAAAGTCGTTTCAGTCAGTCGGTTTTACTTTACGGGCGGCTTGTCCTCCTCCTCGGTCTCCAGGGCCGGATGAAAAGGTGCGGCGACGTGCGGGACCCGCCCGCCGCCGCCGCGTCCTTGGGGCCAAACGGAGCGGTTGTAGTTTTGTCGCCGGCGAGTTTCTCAAGTTGTCCCAAACTCCCCCGGCAAGGCGGGCCCCGCGCCGACACCCACAGAAAAAAAATATATTAATAGAAAGAGGGACGCGTGCGACTTTCCATAAAGCAAATCTACTGGAAGGACATGGGGCCGGTGCCCTTGGGAGCCCTACGGCCAAAGTTGATTCCTCGTTGCGCTGCTCGGCGGCAGGGCGTGGCGGGGCGGGGCGGGGCGAGCCGAAGCGTTGAGCGGAATAACCTTATCAGATTTCAAAGTTTGTCCGCGCGGCAATGACCGCGGCCCGGCCAGCTCGCAGCCTTGGCACCGCCAAACTGCGATCGAGACCTTGGATTATATTGGCGACGAACGCGCATCCGTGGGAACGTATATATATTACAACAATAACCGTCAGACTTGACCGCGCCCTTATTCCCTTATTAGTGGCGCGCGTGTGTGTTTGGAGAGAGGGTGGTGGTGGAGAGTAGGAGGAGGAGGAGGAGGACGAGGAC